AGGAGGACAGTGGGGGGAGGGGAGGAAGGGGCAGGGGGTGGGGTGGGAACAGGGTGGAGGGGAGCTATGGTGGAAAAAAGAGGAACAACTGTAATAATCTGAACAATAAAGATTTAATAATAATAAAAAAAAGACAGATAGGCTCAGTTAAGGTAAAGGTTGACCTTGTCAGTGAAGATACCAGCCTAGGATGTAACTACCCACCATAACTGCTTGAGTTAAAGTTTGATTTCAGACCATTCATTGTGGTTATTTTAGGTCGCTGGTTTGCAAGACTGCCTTGCAGGCCTTCCCTGAGCTTGTCAGGTTAGCTAGCATGTGGCCCCTTTCGTCCACACTTTAAATCTCTAGACCCACATATATCCTATCCCATAACATACAAGAAACACAGGCACTGCTTATGGTCTTCTTGAGACATTATAGAGTTGACAAGAGGTGTTTGAACTCTAGAAACAAGCATATGTTCTGATTTACTAAATAGAGAAATGTTTTGAGCCTAAAAAAAAAAGTAAGTCTAACATAAACCTCTGGAAGGGTTTAGGCAGATTGTGGAGCATAAAAAAGAAGGCAGGGACCCCTAGGAAGCAATACGAGTTCACTACAAATGCATCAGCCATTCATCAGACAATGACAGTAACCCAGTTCATCATTTACGATCTAGGCTGGGTTATTAGCAGATATATTTACTTATTGGTTTACCAGGTTTAAGACCAAACCCAAATGTAAATAATAAAATCAACTCAATGGTATGTGATGTTCTTTCTATGTTCCAAACCAGTTAACGTAGCAACAATTCTGTGTTCTTTAGAAGTCTGGGTAAAACTGCAGTGAGTCCGTCTTGACTATGTGACCTCCTGTAGTCACCCTGAAGGCAAAATTTTAGTTCTGATAACATTGCCTTTATTTGGAACATCTCTAAATTCCTCTTTTTGAATTCCCTCCTGAAGTTTATTTTCCGTCTTCACAGGTTGAAAATTATCGCCCTTTGAAGAATACTTTTTTTTTTAGAAATAGTCAAGTCTATTAAAAACAAAAAAAAGAGGATAAACTGTGATCATCTAGTCAATTGGATGAGGGGGTAGGGAAGTGAGGAAGGCAAAGATTAAGGGAATATAAACTAGGAAAATTGATTTACTTGGGGGCGGGAGGGTCTTATAAATTGGCCCTGAAAGCAATCTCTAAACAGGGTTTTTTGTTTGTTTTGTTTGCTTTTGTTTGGGTGTTTGTTTGTGTTCATCACCATTGCCACACGAAATCATGCAATAAACATCATAAGTCTTAAGCAAAAAAATGGGACTAGGGCAAAACATTCAAACACTTTGCCAGTGACAGGTAAAAATAAATAGAAGCATACTAAAAAGAGTAGTGCAGGTTTTTAAAAAATATATATTTTTATTGACTTCAGAGAGGAAGGGAGAGAGATAGAAATATCAATGATGAGAAAAAATCATTGATTAGCTGCCTCCTGCATGCCCCCTACTGGGGATGGAGCTGGAAACCTGGGCATGTGCCCTTGACTGGAATTGAACCAGCCAGGACAAGAGTAGTGCAGTTTTACACCTGTTAGGTGATTGAGAAGTTCTTAATTCTATAAAAAATATGGAACTTTACCTTGAAAAAGACCTGAAGTTTGCTTGTGGAAATGGGCATCGGAAGGGTTTAAGTTTGTGAGTTACTGTGAAGTGCAGGAAGGAGGGTTATCTTTGTGGTGGGAAGGGTTTCAGGGAGTCAGGGTGAGGCTGCAGAGTTTATCAGGCCCAAACAGACCAAGCTTTGGCCACGTGAAGGGAGGGCTATGATCTGGCTGGGTATGTGAGGGAAAAATAGCCCCTGTCTAGAGTCAGTCTGGGATTCTGCCCTGACCTCCTGGAGGGCTCGAGCTGGGCAGGGTGGGCCACCACAAGTTCAAGTTGGGCTAAACAGGGCTTTTTTTGTGTTTGTCTGTTTTGTTAGAGTGGAAGGGAGGGAAAAAGGGAGGGGAGGAGAAAGAGAGAAAATCAATGTGAGAGAGACACATAGATTGGTTGCCTCTTGCATGAGCCCAACTAGGGCTGAGGACTGAACCTGCAATTCAGGTGCATGCCCTTGACTGGGAATCACAGGCTGACGTCTAACCACTGAACACACCAGCCAGGGCTTTTTTAATGGAGGAAAATACTTTTGCATTTTTAAAAATATTTTTTTATTGATTTCAGAGAGGCAGGAAGAGGGAGAGAGAGAGAGAAACATCAATGATGAGAGAGTATCATTGATCAGCTGCCCCCTACACGCCCCACACTGGGGATCGAGCCACAACCCAGTATGTGCACTGACTGGGAATCAAACTGTGACCTCCTGGTTCATAAGTCGTTACTGTGAAGTGCAGGAAGGAGGGTTATCTTTGTGGTGGGAAGGGTTTCAGGGAGTCAGGGTGAGGCTGCAGAGTTTATCAGGCCCAAACAGACCAAGCTTTGGCCACGTGAAGGGAGGGCTATGATCTGGCTGGGTATGTGAGGGAAAAATAGCCCCTGTCTAGAGTCAGTCTGGGATTCTGCCCTGACCTCCTGGAGGGCTCGAGCTGGGCAGGGTGGGCCACCACAAGTTCAAGTTGGGCTAAACAGGGCTTTTTTTGTGTGTTTGTCTGTTTTGTTAGAGTGGAAGGGAGGGAAAAAGGGAGGAGAGGAGAAAGAGAGAAAAATCAATGTGAGAGAGACACATAGATTGATTGCCTCTTGCATGAGCCCAACTAGGGCTGAGGATTGAACCTGAAACCCAGATGCATGCCCTTGACTGGGAATCACAGGCTGACGTCTAACCACTGAACACACCAGCCAAGGCTTTTTTAATGGAGGAAAATACTTTTGCATTTTTACAAATATTTTTTTATTGATTTCAGAGAGGCAGGAAGAGGGAGAGAGAGATAGAAACATCAATGATGAGAGAGTATCATTGATCAGCTGCCCCCTACACGCCCCACACTGGGGATGGAGCCACAACCCAGTATGTGCACTGACTGGGAATCAAACTGTGACCTCCTGGTTCATAAGTCGATGTTCAACCACTGAGCCATACCAGCTGGGCTACTTTTGCATTTTTAAAGATTATTTTGCTTTCAGATGTTTAAAAATGCAAACTTAAAGTGATAAGGGAGATTGGATATAGGAAGATATGTAGACTTTTCTATATCTTCTTTTCTTCTGATCTAGCAATGTAATCTGAGCATTAACAATATCTTTTAGTAACAGAACAGGTTTCACTCCACTTCAAATACATTTTTATATGTATGATTTTTAAAAATCAGGATAACAGACTTTATCTTCTAATGTTCTGATAGGCTATGAACCTTACCTCTTTTATTTAAACTTAAATTGAATTTTTAAAACACATACGAACAAAGGTTTAGGTAGTTTTAAGTTTGTACCTTTTCTTCAATTCTTTTGAAAACAAAATTCAAACTTTAACACGAAGTGCAAAAATATTCAGTTACCAATAGATTTATTTTATATTTGTGTTATGTTATACATGACTTTAACCAAATTTTAAAAGTTAGAAGATCAGCAATAGTACCAGAAAGAAATGCATGGAATGTTATTTTTCCAATATACTTCATGCATGCAAATTTCCTCAGGGGACATTTCAAATACTCTTTACCAGCAATTAATTGAATAAGAAATTAAAAATAAGAAAGTATCTTTATTTATAATTTAACCTTATTCCAGGAGGATTAAAGATGACTTATAAAACTACATATAATTCAACAAGATATTTTAAAGGCAAAAGGATTAAAAAGAAATTGAATGTGGGAAAAGTAAGCCATGGCTGAAGTACATTCATGCTTTGATGTCCTGTGTACTTGTTAAATTTGACTTAGGCATCTAACAGCCATTGCAAAGAAGGACACAATCAGATCTGTGATTCATAAAGTTTTAAAAAATAAAGTCTATTTAGAGGGAGCAACAGTCTAAAAAGTCCAAGGGTAGAGAAGCTCAATCATCTGTTAACCTAAAATATTTCCTGGTGGTAAACTGAGCTGGTTGAAAGTGGTATTGTGTATTTATCAGGAGTACCTGAAATGCAATTCAGACCATTTCACTCCTCTGCTCTGGAAAGTTCCGGGTTTTCCCATTGGCTATAAATGAACTATAAACATCTTGGTCTAATATCTGAGGCCATCCTCAAAACCAAATCAAGATGAGCTCCCTGAAGGCAGACTGCATTTCTTATTCAATATCAGTGCCAGTCACAGGCCTTTGTGACAAAGTAGGTGTCAACCGATGCTCAAAGATAGAGGGACTGTGGATCAGCTAAGAAAGTTTGTGGAAACCTCTCCAGCCCTCATCTCTCTACCTATAAGGCCTTCCCCTGACAGCTCTTCCAGTTGAATGGTGACCAGTATCCTCAAAGTCGATAACAATATCTCTATCATCAATAATAGCTACAAGAGCATCTCTTTGCATTTTATAGTGCTCTATAGTTGACACAAACATTTTAACCTATTCTCAAATTCTCAAAACTTTGTGGTGTAGTAGGGAGCATGATTATGCTCTACAACGCAGAAGCCTTGTAGAAGGTACCTCCTTATTACCTTATTAATGCCATTTTCTCCTGATGTCCACAGTAGGGTGTGGTCTCTTCCTCTCCTTCAAACCCTTGTGGCATTTGGTTTATACCTTTCTTATGACACTTACTAATAACTCTATACATTTTATATAGTGTGTTACAGTTTACAAAACACTTTTTCTCATGCTAAATTCCTATTTCTTTTTCATTCTCACAACTTCTTTTAGAGAACAATAATTAATCCTCTTCTTACCTTGAGGACCCTGCTGCTCTCTCCACACTCTCTAAAAATATAAAAAGTAAAAGCTACTCAGGAGATTACATAACCCACAACTACTACCACAGTCATTTTACCATCCCCCAAGGACAACAGAAACCTAACATTTTTTTAGGTCCGTACTCTCTGCCAGGTGCTTTATAGATAATACTACTTCAATTTACATTTTCTTTGCTCTTAGACTATTAAATTTGATTCTCCAAAAACACACAACAACACACGAATTCTAGAAAGAAAACATGTGCTTTCCATCTCTGTGGATACTTTGACTAATGAGGGAAAGGGGTAGAGATGCTGGGGAAAAATTGACACCCTTTCTGAAATTCCACTGAAGTGACTCATTTAGGAACCAGCTCTGGCTGGAGCTCAGCAGGATGGTGTAACACATTGGGTGGATCAAGAATGTGTTGATGAGAGCTGTCAGTTGGGGGAATTTCTGATGAAGACATCACCAGGTCCAAAAAGATGCCAGTAGAGGTAGGGGTGGGGAACAGAACCTAGATCAGGGGTGGGCAACCCCTGGCACACGTGCCAAACCTGGCACACCAGTAACTTTTGCTGGCACGCGAAACCCTCTCTTATAATCTTCCATTTACAATTTTTTTCTTAATATCGACTTTTTATTTTTCATATAAATTCAGTGTAGGTGCATCTTAGATAAATAAATAATTTTGCATAATAACAAGTTATAAAGAGCATAGACATGGATTGACGAGAGAGGGGAAGCAATTTCTATGCCTCTGCCTTAACTCTCCCTGCCTTCCTAGATGATCCCAGTGTTTTGGTTTCATCCACATACGCTTGTGAATCTTTGTTCTCAGTGATGAATTTTGTTAAGTCTCGTAATAGGAGTAGCCTGACGGATGAAAGTAGTAGCTCGTGCATATCTCTGAAGGTCACGAAATATAAACCTGATGTAAAATCTCTGTCATCAGTGATGCAGCAGCAAAAGTCCCACTGATAATATCAAACGGAGTCATAAAGTTTTCTGTCGGACTATCAGTGTACATGTATACATTAAAAAATAAATGTATTTTTCATCATCATATACTGTGTTTTTGTCGCTCGAATGAATTTTATTATTTCTTCAAGGTTCTTCACATACGTACACCTTAAGAGATATCAAGTAGGTGTAACATGTTCTCAAAAAATTAGGGTTGGCACGCAGAAGAATTTTGAGTCAGAGATTTTGCTGGTTTTGGCACGCACTCACAAAAAGGTTGCCCACCCCTGACCTAGATGGAGGCCACTACCAGGAATCTCCTGGGTCTAAGGACAGGAAAGTCCCTGTGCCAAGAGGTGGCCTTCCACAATTCCAGGGGGCACTCTTCCCATGGAATATAATGTGCACGGTGCCCTTGGAATTGTGCAACACGGGGTCCTGACCTCAGTGTCTGGCTGTCTCCCTCCATTGCACTGACTGAGTGCCATAGGGGATATCCATGTTGGAGACCTCCAAGAGAACTGCAAACTCTCAGGCTTCCATAACTCATTGATGATGTAGTGCTTGGTGCTTTCATTTCAGTTCATGTAATCACTTCCTGTAACTTCCTGTCAAAGATGTCTGTGTAGTTGTGGGGCACACTGGGATTCTTAGACACACTGAGTGGGAACATGAGGCCCAGTGTCATGGCCAATGTGTGATTCCTCCCACAGCATGACTCGGACTCTGTGGCAAAGAGTCACCTGGGAAAAGGTCAGCTTCACGCGGACGGTGTGGCCTCCGTTCTTGTAGCTATGTTTTTCTGAGGAAAGCAACACCTTTTGAGAAAAGTGAGTAAGACATTATTCTAATTCATATCTGGGGCCTGGCAACTATTTCTCACCT